CGGGGTTAAAAACAAAAACCTTTCCTCTCCCATTAGTGATCACAAAAAACTGATTGATAAATTTTTCCCGTTCTTCAAGGGGGACGTGAGGATTGCCACGCAAACCCCCCCCCACCGGGTTTTAACAGGCTATGTTGTGGGGGTTGGGCTTTCCGGCTCTTTGGTTTTTTAAAAGGACCTTTTGCTTTTGAGTTTCTTCGCGAGAGGAATTTTTATCAAAAAAAAAAAAAAAAAGCATTATCAGCCCATGTAATTCGGGACAAAAAAAAAAAAAAAAAAAAATCGGAGGGTCACCATACTCTTCGGGGGCTCTGCTTTCGTTGAAGCAGCGGGCGCCTTGGTCTTCTGCTTCTTCTCCTCCTCCACGTCCTCCTCCTCATCATCGTCACTGGGACTACCCATCTCGATATCCTCGTCATCATGCTCATCAGCCTCCGAGTCCGGAATATCATCGATATCAAAGTCGTCCTCGTCATCATCGAAGTCGTCCTCCTCCTCTACCTTCTTCTTTGACGACTTCTTGTCCTTCTTTCCAGACTTGACATCCTTCTTCGAGCTCTTCTGTGGGGCAGACTTCTTCACTGGCGCGGATTTGGCCTTTTTTGTTGTCACGGGCGCTGTCTTGGTCTTTGTCCGCTTCCCATTGCGCTCGTCCCCGGCATCGACGGGACGTTTTACACCGACCATATTGTCGATTTCGTAGGCGCTATGGGCGACTAAAGATCGAATGAATTGAGTGTGCTGGAAGGATTGCTTTGCTATACCCCGTACCGCTGGCTAGATAAATTTTCTTGAACGCTGTTTCTGCCGGAGAAAAGTCGTTTCACTTTTTTTTGAGCCTTGAGGGCGGTCGGGTTGTGTTTGCATTGTTTGTTTCCCCTCTGATAAGGATCAGGCTTGATACGGAGCAGTAAGAGGGACATTTAGTACGTGTACAAAGAGAGAGAATATATTGATGATATTTGTATAGGTCATTTACAATTAGATTCCGAGGCATTAACATGAAGATATGCCAGGATGTCTCTCGAATAAGACGAAAGGCCATACCGCATACAGCACATGTGAAATAGGTACAGAGAGAACAAAATGCGTCCGGTTCCTAACCCCGGCTTTCACAAAGCAGTCAAACACCAACGGATCCATTACCCCGACGCCTAAAATTAGCTCAATTCCCAATGAACTATCCGTAGATGTGTCGCATGGCACACCTCAAGCGGTGTCGGCTTCTGCGCCGACAGGTGGCCTGATCGTACCTAACTCGGATTCCAGAGTGCTGGACCCCTTCTTCCTGCCTGAGATGTGAAATCCAAGGTGTTGTGTTGCAGATTTTGTGTTTCCGGATGTCTGCGCATCGCCAGAGAAGTCGCTAAACCGAGAGAAGATACCCTTCTTCTTGGGTTTGACCTCTTCGTCATCAAGTCCCACGTCCTCGAACTTCTCTTCTTCCATAGCCTCGGGCTTCGAGAATCCGTTCGTGTACGAGGTAGACTGCGATGTCATACGGGAGAATCGTGAGTCTAGTGAAGTTCGAGAAGGCATCGTGTCAGTGTAGCTCACTGGGGAGCGAGCGGAAATATCCTAGAACACCCGGAGTCAGCCTACATACGCTCCGGGTAAATAAAGTAACCTGTCGACTCACAAATGACCGACGATACGAATCGAATGATTCGCGGGATATCGAGAAGGGTTCATTTTCATCAACGAGGTCTCGATGGTGTGATGACCGGTTCGAACCGGGATATTTCTTCCAGAAACTCTGCTTCTCTGGGGGCGAAGGCTACGATTGACAATCCTTAGTTGTGGGATCCTGGAACTTCAAGACAGTTGGGGTGCAAATACCGGCAGATAAGCACCGTTATCGTCGACAACTGTAGATGAAGAAATCAGAAACCTCGACTCTCATGGGTGCTAGGGATTGCTGCGAGTATCGTAAAGCATACCGCTCAATTTATATTCTGGAGGTTCTTTTTCGTAGCTTTTTCTGATACCCAACGGATTGGAGGGATGACTCTCTGGGGACAGCCGCTTGTCTTCGTGGGTGCTCTCGATCTCCCCACCATTGGGCGCCGCCGACCTTCTGCTCAAGAAGTTACGAAACGGGGCCATGCTGGAATGAGACGAAACTCAGAATCGCAAAATGTAACCAAATGTAGGGCTCTTAAGGGGAGTCCCAGTTACAGTAGAAGCGAAAGAATGCAACTGGAAGGGAACTTAATTGATTAATAGGACAAGAACCAGTGGCTCAGGTACAGTGCTACCCCCCCAAATCTCACATGATCGGCGGCATTGGGGGGGCATTGGTACAATTTATGAAGGTCATTCTTTGGATGACGATCTTAGCGGCAACACATTAACCAGAAGTAGGCTCAAGGTCATTGCGATTCCTCACTAGTTGTAGTTAAATTGGCCAGTAATTTGCTGCTAACCCAGCCGTATACGTCAAAGCATCGGTAACCCCAGAGATCTTTTTTTCTTGTTTCTCATTGAGACAAGGAAAGAGATTCTTTGTCCCTTCCATGATGTATGACTTACTGTTGGGACGCCCCACGTCTTTGCAGAGCGCTTGCAGTTGGAGTGGTCGATTCCCCACTCTGAAAGGCTAAAATCCAGCATTTTTCAGAGGAACCAGGCACTTGATTGTACGGACTACAGAGTAAGGAACGAAAGTGGAGCAAGGGAAGAGTACGGATCATGGATGAACTGAACTGCAAGGGTCCCCAGAAGCAGTCCATACCTAGACTATCTGCATTGAAAATGCCTGAGATTGTAGGTGGCAATTGCAACAATGCATAGAACTTAAGTACCTCGAGGTTGCGTACTGTCTCGGTATGTCTGAGGCAGGAATCGAAGGAAATTATGACCACCTGATTTATGCATAAATATTCCGCAGAGTACGTAGTAAGAGTTCTGAAGCTTCTATGCACTACACGTGATACATAAGTCAGTGATACTATCACGATGTTATCATTTGCTTTTCGACTTCATTCTCCACTAGACGCTTGCCATTGTTTCTGGTCCTTTAATCATCGGTTTAATGATTGCTCGAGGATCATGTTAATCCCAATTCACCATGCACTTGACTCATCGACGGGTATATTTCACTGCCTCGTCGCCTGCGACTTCATAGTCATTTGGACCGAGATATAGTGGTGAACCAGATGCCAGGCACTATAGGGAACGCTTCATCCAGAGGAGCAAGGTCCCCTATTTGAGATCTCGGCTGGAGTGTGACTCGGTCTTAGGCTGGTCGGGTGGGGAAACGACGAAGGAGCATTGAGCACATTCAAGTAAGGTCAAAAGGATATAGGTACTCCCTTTAGCATCGTGTTTCGATTGTAGCTCCGCGTGCAAGTAACTTTCCAAGGTATCTCAATGTTTATTCATCTGGTATCTGCACGGCATAGAACTACTAGGACTTGGTAGTAAATGAGTCAGCTAGTACGGAGTACGGATATGCACTATATGGACAAGGGGTGTTCAGAAGGCCTGTAAAAAAGGAGCCTAAGACAGGCTTCCCTATGCATTCAGAGTACTTACCTACCATGAAGGGTCCGCATAGTTCTTTTTTGGAATAATCCATGGTGAGTTGGGTAATTGCCCGATCTGGACATGAGCACGCTAGGAGTAGGGAAGAGGGAAGACACTCGGCGCAATGACTTCATACCAACTCTCTATATAGTGTCCAGGTGCTTGTGATTGAGACTTGGGGGAGCGATCCGGCATCTTTCAACCTCTGGGATTAGGATACCTATACAGTGAGTGAAACTTCACTCCTTTTGGTGGTTTCAGTCGGGTGCCACTTGTCTGTTATGATACTGAGCTGGAAGGTCTTGGTAGTGCTCTTGCATCCGCGCAATAGCTTCCACCATGACATTCATTTCTCGAGTTATCTCTGTTGCCCTGGCTACCTTGGTGGTGGGTGTTGTTCACGCAGTCGATCCTAAATCCAAGATACAACGCCTAGCGGTCCTTGATAATGACGGTCATCGCCCCCCCGAGATGGTGGATGCACCTAGGTGTGAGGTCAACGCGGGCTGTGACTATGGGCAGATTTGCGATGGCCAACTCCAGAGATGCACGACAGGTTGCAAAAGTTCATTTGACTGCTTCCGAAGTCATACATGTGTGCATGCCAAATGTCTCAGCATCATAATACCGAGTGCGCTGGTTACCATGGCTATTGCTTCGGGGATAGTGATTGCTGCTCCGGTAACTGCCGTGCAGAATTCTGGGCGCTTTGGAAGTGGTGTTGGCATGGGTGATATCAAATCCACGCCGAGTTTATTACGATGCTGCCGATATATATACTGTGCTCTGTCGACGGTGTCTTGAATCAGGACCACTGTGGTTGGTAAACTGGGAAGCGAAGCAAAATGCCAGGGTGGAAGGAACAAAGCATTATTTTTCAGATAAGAGGCTGGAGCAAACCGTACAGATCAAGAAGATAGATAGTTTGGACCAAGTGAATCGAAAATGATTGTCGAAGAGGAGTTGTTAAGTAACCCGACTTATGTGTTTCTGGGTTATATTTTTTAAGTTGAGAGTATTTCTCTAATCTGTCACGGATAACCTAGTGGAAGGCCAGCCGCTAAGTCAGTAACCTTGCTGCGGCATTTGCCAGCGGGAAAGGTGCCCGGTACGAATCCCGGGGTCGTCGTTGTACTCGTGCGAGTAATCCACGATGCTACAAGGCGTTAAGCAATGGAAGTGACCCTTGAGGGAAGCAATTCTGCAGAGACATTTCCACCCTGGGATGGCGTCGCCGGAGGACACCTTCCCGTTACAGGGAAACTGGCTGCTTGGCTGGACAACCGTAACTCTCTTCTTTTTGTTTTTCTTTTTTTCCCATCCCCTCCATAACAATTCCATCCAACCACACTCTGTTGATCGCACTTGGTACATTGCCAACCACGTACGCTCGTGTGACCGAAAGAGCCATTGATTACTCAATATCTGTCGAATGTCATCGCCTTGTCAAAGCCATTGTCGAAACGAGTTTGTAGCCAGTATGAGCTTTGAGAACATGCGAACTCATGATATGCTGTCGCAATGTCTTCATTTTACCACATTATCTCTTGCTTCCACAAATCCATGGATTTAGTCATACGTAGAGGCGATATCATGCAGGTACGTCACAAGGCACTGCAGCAAACAGAAAGCTTCCTGGTAAACAGCGCTCCTTCCATCTCTCGTAGCTACCAAATGCAGGGCTCTGGCAATCTCTCCTGCCTTATACCCCCCCAGCAGACTGAGATCCCCTCCTCAAAGTCCCTTACCGTTTGTGCATCCTCACATCTCTACAAATCTGCGCCGTCGAAGGTCGAGTCGAGTACCGATCATCGTTGCCCTCACAGCACCCAGTTCGATAGGGCTTAGGCGACAGGCCTCGTTACAACACCAGACGCTACCGCAGTACACAGGAAACGAATACGGTGGTGACACATATAGCTGCTTCCACCAGTCGTATTGAACTACCTCTACCTTGCGGAGAACTAGAACCGGCTTAATACTCTGCTACCCGTCCTGCCTGGACGTTCGACATCCAGAAGTCTCACTGGCGAGAAGCCAGAAAAGCATACAGCATGCGGTTCTGGGTGGGATGGGCTCTCTGGCAAAAGCTGAGCCTGGTAAGTTCGATGAGACCAATGATGCAAATGATGATCGGACCTAATGGCAAATGGAACAGGTGCTTGCAGTTCTCCTGGTAGGATCGACGTCTCTCAAGTAGAAAAAAACGGGCACTGATCTCACAGGCAATCGTCCTCATCTACTCTTTCTGCGTCCTTGCCCACAACCGACGAATGATCAGAAAACATGCCGCTGCTGAAGCATATCAGAGGGTAGAGCGAGGTACTGAGCTACATGCGGTGTTGACTGGAGGGAGCGACATACCATTCGGGGCCCGAGCGCTAGAAAAGGGTGTCCAGATAGATGGTATATGGATCTCTACCAGCAACACATCAAGTCCAGCGCAGGCCGCAACCCCAATCGCAAGCAGACCGACGACGCCACTCGTAAACCAAACACAAAAAATCCCGGCTGCTGACGCCGCAAGCGATGTCCAATCCCACCGGCACACGGATCAGTCAGCTTTCAACGCAGCTGGTCGTGACTCCCGACGAACTGTGGCGTCGTCGGAAAAAGAGATCGCGGAAAGCAGCAAGTCTGACAGACATCGTGAAAGTCAGCTCATTTGTTCAGATATTCTTGCGCCCCAGGAGTCCCAAAACTCGGGTGGTTCGGAAAGACGAAGATCACGAGGATTCTTCGGCCCACATAGCTCATGGCTAACGAAGTCCCCCGACAAATATCAGCGAAGGTCGGGTGTTGAAGGTGAGTCCACCGAAGCAAATGATATGGCTGCTGTGCTTTTCCTAGACGCTAACATATCGTATTTGGCTCTAGGGCACCGTCGTGGGCAATCATCGGAAGATTTCAGGCGCAGGATCAGTAGGCTGATCGAAGAAAATATCCAAACTCGTCCGAAAGAGGAATTCCAGCTGAGACCTCTACCGCGCGATGGCGTGCATCAACACAAGTAAGGACTGCTTCCGGTTATTCAAAGCCAGAAGATTCCCATGCAGCGTCATGAGAACAATTACGCGCATACCGAAGCAGCGTGGTGTAGCTTCTCAAGTATACCGGAGATATACTCAAAGCGAACCCCGGCCTCGGCTCTGTTGGATAAACCTAACTCGCACTCGTGTACGACGCTTCTGCTCATTCATACAATTCAAGCTGAGACGAGTGAGCTCTTCAAACGTAGGGAAGGCAACAACTGTATCTTATATAATTCAAGCTTGAATTTTCCGTTAGTCAGGATTATGCTCTTCGCTCCTTTAATGATCTTATATCTCGAGTGATATTTCACACAGATGGTAGTAATAAGATCTAGGCATCGTACGTAGTACTGCATTGAGGCATGCCGTTTGATAGCGTGTACTAAAATTGGGCATTTGCAACCTATATTATCGCTGTTGTTGGATTTGATTGTTGACATTTCGCTCCGCCGTAGGCAGCTATCTAGGCCGACATGGCACGTGACCTCGTGACAGACAGGACGCGTCCGCGATTGCTCAGACTGTTTAGTTGGGTGACGACCAGTG